ATGAATGAACAACACTTTATAACCTTATCTAAAGTCGTTTATTAAAAGTAATGGAAAAAAAAACTTCACAGTACTACTGCATCATTACGGCTATAAAGTATTTCACAATGTCCTTTAAAATCATTGTCAATAAATGTAGAAAAAGACGGATCAAGCAAATAGGCTAGAATCTTTATTATTGGTGTAAAACGTTAATTAACAAAATTACAAAACTCCAAGGTAATTCAAAACGGAAACTCCCTTATCAAAATGCAAAACGAAAAGCTCAAACACATTAAACGAACGGAAAACAATTGTCATATTCCTGACTTGGTACAGGAATTTCCTTATGTAGAAATTGGTGGAATAAACCTGCTTTTATATCAACGCATAAAAGACGATATCGCACTCTTTATAGCGACCATACTCTGTTTTTGTCAATAAGCTCTTTTGGTTTATTTTCATGTACATCTTCATCCTTTTTTATTAGATTAACAGTTTAAACACTCTCTTTTGACCCTGTACGGAGAATGTATGAAACATTTTTTTCTATATACCTCTTACTGAGCACTACAAACAAAATTTTCATGGATTCTTTTAATAGTCCTGAGGGTTTTTCATTTTTTTTTTATACATTTTACCTAGTCGGATGTCATGGAACTGAACAAAACTTTAGATTGATTTTGATTTAATCTCAGGAGCCTCGGTGGTCGAGAGTTGTAAGTAGTAGAACTACTGTATCACTACCCTATCAACACTGAGGTTGTGAGTTTGAGTACCACACGTCGCAGGTGCATTCAACGTTAATCTTAATTGACTAGGATTGTCTGTTTTCCTACCGAAGGTCGGTGATTCTCTCCGGGCATTCCGGCTTCCTTCATCTATTAAAACCGACCGACACGAAAAAGCAGTGCTGAAGTTGCGGTAAACACCAGTCAATCAATCAACCATTTAATCTGACCTTAAGTCTGTCTAACTGAATTTCATAAAACAATATTCACTTCAGAGTATGACTTTAAAAAAATGAGGTGCAATGCTACAAAATTGATAAAAATCGTTGATTTTCACATTGTTATTGAAGTAAATAAAGTGGACGTACTTATTATCGATAAAATTATTTAAGGGTCACATTATTATTATAATTGTCTCAATAATTTGACTTTTAAAACTGTCCACAGAATAATTCACCGTTGGTGTTTCGTTTTCGTTTTGTCTCTCTTCAATAGAAGATATTAATCATCTTCATTCTGCTTCCAAAAATAAAACGATGCATAAATGTCTTTTATGTTTTTGAAAATATTTATTCCAGTATTTTAGTTTTATAATAACTCTTAAACATTCAAATACATGTTTGTATCATGTGTATGTTACATGATGTTTCCTTTTTTTTTTGTTTGTTTTAATCTATATCTGTTCAACTTGTCGTGGTATGTAACAGAAAAATTTAAAAAAAAAAAAAACAGTCTATAGATCAAACATTTATCTTAGGTTTAATTTGTTATTATCGCGCAATTTGTTTCAGTATTGCTGTACATTTCAAAGCAATAAATATCAACGGTTCGGCAACTTTTGTAAGATCAAAGAATCTTGCGTAGTAAAATGAAATATCGTCAACTGTGTAAATTACATATTAGCATGATGTGTTATTACTTTAATTGGAAAATATATGCCCTACTGAATTGAAAAAGATTTTGAAATACAATAGTTTTGATTATGAGCAAATTCTTAATATTTATGGCCAATTTCAGTTTCATTTTATTCCAAACGAGGTTTTGGTATGTATTTCAGTTTAAAAATTTAGTAGTGTTATAGCTGTTAGAAATTTATAATGACGGAAATGAATATATGGATGAAAATTTCATCAACTGTTAAAACTAAAGACACCATTTTATGTTGATTTTCTAAACGATTGGTATGAACGGGTTTCCGGTTACATGTCACTCATTGATATATTTGTATAAAAATAGCAATATAACTACAGAGTTATAGATGCCATCAGTTAATAAAAGTTGGATATGATGTTATCAAACAAATAAAGACTTAATAAGATCAACATGCTTCTTTTTTTCATTTTGCATTTAAATTTGTATAAGTTTACTACAAATATGGACACTGCACAAGATCTATAAGCCTACTCATAAGATCATCCATATTAATTTGAATGCAAGACAGTATAATTTCATATCAACAGATTAAGTGTCTCCAGCTTGTTTTCAAACAAACATAATTGTCGTTTGATGTTTATTATATTTGTTTTTCATTTATTATTTTGTATATGAATTAGGCCGTTAGTTTTCTCGTTTGAATTGTTTCACAATCGTCATTTTGGGGTCTTTTAAAGTTGACTATGCGGTATAGGTTTTGCTCATTGTTGAAGGCCGTATGGTGACCTATAGTTGTTTATTTCTCTTGTGGAGAGTTGTCTCATTAGCAAGCATACCACATTCTCTTGTTTTTTGTATAAAAACTCATCAGAGATCCCAGGCATATAATTTGGTACACCAGACGCGCATTTCGTCTTCCAAAGACAGATCAGTGACGCTCGAACCAAATTTGAAAACCATATCAAATACAATGTTGAAGAGCGTTAAAAAAAATCAAATACCGCTAATAAAATATTTACCTATGAAAATCTCGGGGGGAGTGGGGTCTGAATACTACAAAAAGCATCAGCTCATTTTTTTTTAAACTCATCAAAGATGATAGTTTGAAAATTGGGTACATACTCATGAAATATCACTGATATAATGTTATTTTCTGTTAATTTACTCTTTATAAAATGTTGAACTATTTGGATCACTAAGGTTTAATTCTACCTTAAGGTATATGATGCCTTAAATTAGACCGCTAGTTTTCTCAGCTGAATTGTTTCATATTTTTCATGTCGGGGCCTTTTATAGCCGACTCTACAGTATGGGTTTTTCTCATTGTTGAAGGCCGTACAGATGCCTATAATTGCTAACATCCACTTCATTTGATATTTGGTGGATAGTTGTTTCATTGGCAATCATACAACAATCCATATTTTTATATATTTTGCACGACTTTTTTTAGTTTGTGGTTTTTAATGAGTTTTTTTCAATTACTTCCGGAGTGCTATGAAACAGTATAATTTAACATTATTCAATATTTTATTATAGACTTACAATGTATTTGTGTCGATGAATTGCTGTTCCATTAACCTGTTTTACTTTTATTCGTATGAAAACACCAAAATATATAATAAATGTAATTCAAAATGATCAAACTTTTTTTCTAAAAATTTAAAACAATTTATCTTTACAAATAAAAAAAAAACATGAATTAAATAATTTGGAGCATACTTGTTAATAAAAAGCAAACATAAAAACATCGGAAAGGTAAATTGGTGAGTAGTATTTAGACTTGATAAATATTTTGGTATACATTTTGCCATGATTGAAAACAGTATGAAATAAGGTCAAAATCAATTTATTTAATTGTGATATTCGATAAATATGAATACATTTTATACCAATGATAGTTTATTGAATATTACCTAAAACAAACAAAAAATGAATTGATGATATAATCATTTTGAATAATTTTCAAATTTTGAAAATAGTTGTTTTATTATTACCACAAGATCTTTAAAATATGAAAATAATTGTTAAATATAAGTGGTAGAGAATAGTGAACTATAAAACAATTTTTTTCTTTAATTTGTTCGTTTCCTGAAAGACTATCAGCTAAAATGAAACACATAGATTGGAATTTTTCCATTTTTATTCTCTTTTATGTATTAAACCATAATCGATGTAAAGGCACATTTTTTTATATCATTTTTTAAGTAAACCAATGTGAACCTTAATGAATTAAATTTGTGTTACAAAATAGCTTATGAACAGCATATATACTATTTATTTTCCCTTACGGCTTATTTCAGGAAACATATACATGTATGTCGGAATTAAGAACAAAGAATGTTAAAATGCTCTTTGGTTAAAGATCTGTCTTAATAAATCTGACCCCAAAATAAAAGTAAAGGTCAATTATGAATAAATATGTATAACCCTTACTTATCTTGGGTGAGGTTGAGTTAGAGGATTGGTTTCTTATAAATTGTTTTTCATTTACTGTAAGCATATGCTTTTCTATTGTAAACCTTAGTTAGAACAGTTCAAAGTGACACTTTCTTTTAACAATATTGTTCTTAAGGCAGTTCAAATAGCCGTCAAATAATCTCATTTAGTTCACTGCCAACAAAACACCCCAAAAGCTTGGTCAATGAAGTAAGAATAATCAACGAAGGCAATTTTTCAACATTACTGTCTGGTACTCGTATTATTAGTTACACGGTGTGTAAGGGACCTTATATGACCCCATATATATTTTATTAAGTTACTAGCACACTGTGTAACGAATTTATCTTACCGATTATCTTAACATGTGGCATTTAGACTGTATCTACTGACCTATCAAAATGACCAAGTCTTCAATCTTTAGAACCTACTTCTATTGGACAAAAATAAATACCAACAAAAACAACTTGATTGCTTTAATGTGTTTTCAGCAATTATTTTCAGTCGTTCTTCATCAATTTCTTCATATGTTGTTTCTTCAACGTCATGTTGTTTTTGTCAAGGGGTGTAACACTGCAACTAACCGTATATTAAAATGGGACACGCCCACTAACCCCATATCCATTATACAGGGTCTCCAGGTATTTGCTTTTAACCAAGGATCATGTATAGAAAAGTGATGTAATTTACATGCATAAAGCTATCTATTTAAAATAATGTTTTCACAGTTTGTATTGACTGACTTAAATAGGTTTTTATTTGGCTCTGTTGTTCTTGTGTTTGTTTTAAATTAAAACAGATAAAAATGCTAAATAGATTTGTAGTAATTAATAAGACACTTTTATTCCAAGGAGTAATGGATAGCATTTTACATGTGAAATGACAGTGTTCAAGTGAAAATTGTAATGATTTTGTGTCACTATGCACCTGATGCATAACAAGGTTGTAATTAATTGGCGATATTGGAAGGTTTCAACATGATAAGATAGGCAGCAATCCAAATGCATTTGTTTATTAAAAGGAGAATGTGCGATACTTAGAGAACTTCTGTAAAGGTACGTTTTTTAATGTTTACCCACAATAAATCTTTTGCTCAAAAGACATCTATAATATTGTTCTTCTATATATTACTCCTATGAAATTCTTGAAATATAATTTTCTGGTCTTTCTTGTTTTTATGTTATATCACGTATTATATATGCAGGACTCAAATTTATGGTGGGTTCCAGATCTATGGCAAATTCCTAATCTATGGTGAATATAACGTCACAAACGCCAAACAAATCATAAATCTATGACAATTTTTTGTTTTCTTCGAATCTATGGCAGATTTTGATATTACGTAATTTTCCTTCACAATTAAATAACGTCATGTAAAGTCCAAGCCGCCGCTAAAGATGACGGTTTTGTTTTATCGAAGGAAAAGAAAAAAAGGCAAGTTTTCAAGGACCCTAATCCATTAATTAAATTATATTTCAAAATTAGAGTTTACGTTAACGGAAATCCCTGCAAATGAGAAGATTTAATCATCTGATTCGGATGAAATAAGAATACTAGAGAACAAACCCATAGCCATTCGTAGCAGCAAAATCGCTGGTGGAGGCAATTTGTTTATGTTTCGTGTTTTGTTTTCTTGTTCTCGTGTTTCTGGTGTTGCCCCTTCCCTTAATTGTTTGCTTTTTGTATTTCTTTCATAATTTTTCGCTGTGATATGCTGTAATTTTTTTTATATCCCTATGTTACTCTTAAATTTTCTTTTACGTGTAACATAACCAGTAGTATTTTGTCAGCTATATAACAGCGACTACCTATACTATTGTAGCAAATAATCTTTCTTGAGATTTGGAAACAAACAAATAAGGATATCTAATAACTATTTACACTATTTTCAGCTATATTTATGTCGAATAACTGTACTGTGGGAGAACTAAGGATTTTTTTTAAGAAAGCCGCGTTTTTTGAGGCAAGTCATTGTTCATTACAAGACTTTGACTTAAATCGTCATCAGTTAAAAAAGATTTGTTAACGCTCAAATAAATATAAAGTAAAAAGTCAAACTGCATTTTGGGTTCTTAGGGGACTTGGTTGAACGAAGGGTCAAACAGGTACCTCGCACAGACTACGAAATGCTTATTCTTCCAGGGCACATCATTTCAACCCTTAAGTCCGTGTTCATTTCACAAATGGTTATTGATATGCTTCCTAGTCGTACTCATACTCCGTTTTTCTTGTACTGGCTTTTACTTAAAAGCAGCTTTTTCGCTACCTTTGGTCTGTTTATGGCAACTTTGAAACCATTGGTCATATATGTACTGACTGGTCCTTCATTTGCAGAAAATCTGCCATAGATCTGAAAACTAGAAATTCGCCATAGACTAGGATTCTAAAAAATCAGCCATAGATTGGGGATGGCATGACGTCATGTTTACTATAGATTAGGAATCTGTCATAGATCTGGAACCCACCATAGATTTGAGTCCAACATATATATTATATATTTTTCATTGTTTAGCTAAGCTTTTAATACAAACCCATATGGATGTTTGTATTGGAAAGAAACTATAATATTTGTTCATTCGGTATTTGATTTGTTGTTGGCTCATATATGCACTATGTTTCGGTTTATTCATATCCAGCGTCCCATAGTCTTACGTTTGTCAGAAGTTGAAGCTGTTTCAGTTAGTCCTTTGTAATATTGTGGTATGTTTTATCCGATTGCTACAGAATTTCTGCAGTTTTGTCTCTACCAGTTATACCCGTCGTGTTGCTAATGGAAAGTATTTGCCTGTGATAAGTCGCAATTAGCCATACACAATGAAAACTGCACAGGATTGGGAGACGACAAGTTTTTCATATCTGGCACGGTCAACCAAACTATAAGGTCTTTCGATGATATGGGTTTAACTTTACCATTAAAAAAGCCTTTATGTAAAACCAGCCTTGTAAGCAAAAAAACTTTAATTCAAGACAATCGTGATAGAAAAAAGGCCTTTAATATCGAATCAACTGGGATATAAATATAGACAGATATATGTGCAGATGCTGCCGCCATTATGCTACATTAAAATTAAACAAAAATTATCTTCCGATATTGAAATTATCTAATATTTTGCAAAATTAGTTCCTCATCCGACATTCTTGATAATAGCAAAGATATGAATCAGATTAAACTGTATCTATTGAATCTGTAATCTAAAGTTGAATAAGATTAAAGAAACATTAATTGTCGAAATTCGAATGTGATGCAGTAACAGTTGTACAGTTTATGTTATAAATCAACATAGTCACCGTGATAGTAGATTTACAATAGTTAATACATTTTAAAAGAATAAAACGGTGCTATAGAGCTACATTTAATTGAATCAAGTATGCTAGTTACATGTATCTTTGATGATGCATGTATAATTTAAACGATAAAACATTGTTAGATGTTATCCTTCTCAGAAGTTATAACTACTAATATGCACTTTAGAGTGTGCACTTTTATCTGTAACATCTGTCAATGAATACAAAAATGAGTAGTTTAAAATATTTGTTCTTAATTTACAATATTAAATTTTCAATTTGCCATTTAATAAGGGACTTTCTGATTTGAATTTTCCTTGCAGTTCGGTATTTTTGTTATTTTACTTTTTTCTGTGTATAACATCAGACTTTCACCATAAACTTAAATATGTACTCTGGTTCGAACGGTGAACTAATCACAATAACCATTGTTCAATCAAACTGTTCGGCGCTTAAAAATGACGTTCAAGACAATTTTGATAAAATGATATAATATTTGTATCAATTGTTTGTATAAGACCAAAAATGAACCAACACTTGCAAAAGTAATGACGGTAACAAGATGACAAAAACATTGAGCTTTGACGGAATTTTGAATTTGATAAAGATAGCCTTACTTATTCGTTTTTATAAATGCTACAACTTTGTTAAACATCACATATGAAAAAGGACTCAGCACCACGAACCCAACATAAAACCTGGAATGAACCCAGATTCTCCGAAAGGGTAAGCATTTCCGGCTCTAAATGTGTCACCCGTCGCGATGTTCAAACAATTAAAAATCCGGTAATAATTTTTTTTTCGGTAATGTCATAATCAAGAAGTTGATGACGGGATCGTGGTTACGACAAGTGGAACATACCAAAGAGGTGGAATAGTAGGCAATTAAAAACCATCAGAAAAAACAGACAACACCATTTTTTTTAGAATTTATTTGATTTAAAACGTTCGATCGGCAAAATGAGTAACATAAGATTCACATGATAAATGATAAAGCTTAAAACAATTGGACAAAGTGTATTATAGAACATTTCTACTTATCCAAACATGTAATATTTAGAGAAAAAATATTAGCCAAGACTGTAACAAGTTTGATGTATTTAATAATCCAACAAACTGTTGACAATTTACAACTAATAGGAATAGGATCACAAATTACAAAGTATTAGGCCAGTACCCACAAATGGAGTCCCGTAATAAATCTACCATCTTTTAAATTGGTATGGTATCGAGTAAAAAAGTATGTTAACCTTTTTAAATTTGTAGTATATCTAAAGTGTATTTATCAATCTTTCAGCTTCAATGAAATTTCGTGTGATTCTGAATATATCTAGTAGATGATTGCATGAATAAATGTGCCTAATTTCATTTTTGATTTTGCTCTTTTAAATCATCACCTTTTATGAATTCTCCAAGAAACCATGAACGTTTACAAGAAAGCAGAAATACAGATTTGGCAGACAAATATAGAGAATACAAAACTGCCTTCCAAAAGGTGACATAAGTGGATCCCTGTACAATACATACAGACAATCTTCTCAAATACGAGTAAAGCTGACCTACGATTGAGTTTATACGCAAACTTTTTTTAAGAAAATACGCTTTACCCTGTTTAAATTAGATCTGATCTGGAATATTATTTCCGTACTAGCTGTCACAAAGAAAATGTTTTCGACTGACGGCAATATCGGCTATATTGCGCAGCTATTTTACCCATCTGTCTAACCTGACTTTGCTGTTAGCTAACATAATTAACCTTATTTTGGTAGGTAGTACCTTCTCGTAAATATTCACTCAGATGATAGGAGTTGTGAGTGACTACAAATGACCCATTTGCCGAATCATCTTGATAGTGTAACTTCAAGTGCTTATTCAGCAAACATTCCTAGTGTGAGTTTCTGTTGATATATTATGATATGGAATTATATTATAAACAGGTGGTAAACTCATATAAAATAATACAATAGTATCAGTATAACAAATCATTAGAGTAACTTATACAGAAATACAATCGGTAGGCCGTTTTTACTTAACGATGGGTACTTCACAGCAGATGACAATTTATTTGATTTAAAATAACTGATGAGGTATATTCACCGTCAATAAAATGTTAGAATCATTCGAAACATTAAGGATAAATAATTTTTATCCATTTAGGCCTAAGTCAGACTGTTTGGCATTCATAGTTAACTATACAGTAGTTGTTCGTTCAGTGAGGAAGGACGTACGGTTACCTATAGTTTATTACATCCTCGTTATTTGGTCGGGTGGATACTGGTCTCATTGGCAGTCACACAGTATCTCCTAGTGTATTGGCACAACTTTTAATAGATCTTGCTTTTCAGTGCTCTTCAGCTACCACTATGTGTTGACCACTTATGAGTCTTATGATCATGTAAATTTACAGTTGATAAATTGTTGAGCTATTCAAAACCTTAAGGTTTGCTAACCCTTAGGCATATATTGCCTTAGTCGTGTTTGACAACTCCTCGGAATTTTCGGTTTTGAATGCTCTTTAAATTTTAAAGAACTCCAACTGTTATGATTCGAGTGACACTGATAAGTTTATGTAGACGAAACTCGAGTATGCATACAAAATTATAAGACTTGTATCTTTGATGAATTTTTATGGAGAACACACTTATTTTGAACAGAAAAATGTTAAGCATGGTTTATATTTCGTTACTTTTAGATAATAATAAAACAGTTTATTATGGGATAAAACACTGTTGCATACAATGATTTACGCAGCGTCAAGACGGATGGTCAA